GGGGGGGGGGGGGGGGGGGGGGGGGATCGGTATGCGGAAATTTAAGAATTAAATTAATTTAACGATAAGAAATCCTATGAATGTGATGTAATGAATGTGGTTTGGACGTATGATATCGGTGTTCATTTAAGTATAGTCGGCGTCATGTACGCTGTATCATTCCCGAGACGGAAAATCACACGATTTTCAGCCTTATGTGTAACGCATAAATCGCATAGATAATTCTAATTAATAAATCTAATAATGATGGGGTTACAGTGGTTTTAATTATAGTGGTTTTGGCTTCAATTCTATGTAGGTAAGGCTGAAAATTGTATAAATCTCGATCTAGGGAATGGTAAATATTTGACTGTACTTTCATACGAACGTACACACACGATAGGTAATACGCAACGCTCATTTGTATCGACATTTTATTAATGTACAAATGAACATTGACTTTAGAAACATCCTACACTACGTAAATATACTGCACGATATATGGTATCGGTCAATATGATATTTGCGCAAATCCCAACAGTATAGATAGCAATACTGAATAAAGTCCTCTTATGATTGTACGAGATTGTATAATATATAACATGAACCATAAACAATCGGATATATTTCGTGCACAATTACTCGTTTTACGTGTAAATTACTCGCCTTCGTTAGAAGAAAATAAAATCACTTGAACGAACGCATAGGAGTGCTTATTTCAATACACAGTCAATTCAACGTTCAACGTCAATTCGACCATGGATCTGTATGTACAATTTGCGTCATTCGATTAAGGAGAATCACGAATTCGGCGTCACGACGCGAACATTCCTATCGAACGAATGCAAGTGACATTAACGATGCATAACTATCACGCCTTGCATCGGAGAGATTAAAACCGGTATAATTCCTCTAAGTCATCAATTGAATTATACCGCTTTTATCTTATAGATAAGAAGAGTAGGATAGAAGATCTTATAGATAGAGCATCTCAACAAAAAAATCGGGGAGCTACTTTTCCCTCATAAAAATCGTCCAATCTGCCTTGATACCTCCATAAAATACGGAAAAATGAATCCTTGCCCTGTACATGGATTCTTTCTTTGGCCAACCATTGCAAGCGTAGCCGTTGTCATTCACAAAGCTCTCGTTCACTATTAAGCGAATAATGCTAATTAAAATTTAATTTTGACAGCAGAAATCCAATATCCAATATCTTCCCCTGTTGTCTACGGCCATGTGATCTTCTGACGCTTCTTCATTAATGATTCCTGCAGCAATCAAATACACACACACAACCAATTATTAGTATTACAAATTGAAATCCTGTACAAATCATAGATAAGTGTGGTGAAAGTGGTAACTTGTTACCTCGTTTTGTTCATCACATCTGCGTTTGTTGATACCGTTGCATGCAGTTTCCACCTTCGGCGTAGAAGATAACCGAATCTTTTTAGGCATTGATCTTTGATCGTTAATTAGAGGTTTTAACCTATCCTCCTCCAGCTCTGACAATTGTGGCATTCTTTTAGCTCCTTTGCTTGTGTTTAAATTACACATATTGCTATCCATGAAAGGAATTCCAATTGTAACAAGAGCGATATTCAAACAGATGTTATATACATATATTACACCCGTGATACTGTTTTTTTTTTCTTTAACATAATATAATTTTATAGATAAGAAATTCTCACCTTACAGCTCTAACAGATTCCTCTGGCGTCATATCCACTTCGGCATCCGGAGCCTTGGCATTTCCTCCGCGCTGCCGCTGAGGTAGCGGCATAGCAATTCGCTTGTATATCTCCAACAGTTCGTTTCTACATAATTTTTCCAATTTGAGGACATCGATGCAACTCTATGGGAGAAGTGACGCATTAGTCGGACACACAATTCGAGAGACAGATAGAGGAGGCCGTGAACTTGGTCAATGTATCGCGTTTGTAAACACAGCTAACCTACTTAACTTACATTCTTAAGGAGTTCGCGGAGCTGGTACTCCGACAAGAGTTCCGGGTGTGTGAGTTCGTGCGAGCCCAACCTCGGCATTCTCGTGCACGCTTCGTCTCGCTTCGGAGGAAAAACTCGCGAATAGTCTCGCGAATAACATTTCACGAGAATTGCACGTCGGCCGCTTTATCAGGCCGTCCTTATCGCCGCGATCGAACGCTCCTTATCGCTATAATCGAGTCGCGTGAAAAGTATGCGCAACTCTGCACGCATCTTTGTCCCCTCGCAGCAGGTGTTTGGTATTGTTTCTGAACAATACAAAGTACGTTCAGTCCGTCGTCACGTTGCAATGTTTGAAAAATATAGCCGAGCCCCGCTGTTACGACGCAAATTGGCCGACTTGCCGTTGAGTCGCACCGCTCGAGAAGATCCGACTGACCCGTCGTCGACTCGTACCACTTCCTCGACTCGAGTCGTCGAGACGGTGGCGACTCGTAGCGGATAATTTGAACCATCCCGCCTTCGCGCTCAAATTAGCTCAAATGGCTCATAACCAAAAAAAGGGCTGCAACCGGAATTATCGTGTAAGAATATTGAAAAAAAAATTGATTAATTTAATTTAAAGGCCAACTCAACACGCTACCCAGGTAATTTTTTGTTTTTTTCTCTTTAAATATAAAAATATGCACGCGTAATCACGAGCGTTGATTAAGTCTACTAAGAAAATAAAATTAATGCTTTGATTTTACAGTAAACTACTTAAGGCAGAAATATTAAATGATATCGTCTCAATATTTAGATGTTGTTGAAACATAGATTAAAATTAATAAAATTAGATTGAATGAAATTAAAAATGAAGTAGCCATGTTTGCAGACCGTTTTAAAATAGAGATCGAAATGGTCTCATAATCGATCGGCGATCCTTGAGCGAATGAACAGAGATCAATAATTTCTCAGAGATCTGCCGATTATTCAAAATGATTAAATAATTATTGATTCCAGCAACATATATTATAGAATTATTATGAAACTTGTAATGTTCACTGATTTTTTTTTTTAATAAAAATCACAATCAATCGTTATATAAATGTGTAATTAAATCGTTGAAAGATTTTCAGTTAGTTGTATGACTTATATATATATATCTGTTGTATTCAAATTTTTTATATACACTAGACAATGTTTGAACAAATATAACAGATGAAAATAGGATAAAATAGGTCATAATGGAGTTACTTTCACTTCTAAAACTAACTTTCTTTATTCGCATCATCACTTTATACTCGTTCTTATTGTATCCAATGTGGGATTTGCGTTTTCTCCCTGTTTTTCGCTTTTTTTCGTTCTCTCTCTCTCTCTCTCTCTCTCTCTCTCTCTCATCACCCATACTTTCTTTTAATACCTATGTTACTAAAAACAATCTCACGTACAAAAATAATCATAACAACAATTAGAGACGATAAACAACAAATATTCAATAACATATAATTCACATTCATGGAAAGTAATACACACTCCACTCTCTTTGTATACGGTTCGTATGCAAAAGATGTTAAATCTCATGGTCCTGCATTCCACACACGCTGTACATATCAAAAGGCATTCCTACGTTTTCTTTTTCGTATTTCACTATGTAAAATGATATATCCCCCAAGACCAAAATATCGTTATAGATATGCGGTATGTATATGTAATAGAGAACAATTGTTATATCATGCGGTAAACTATCTGTAATACTCGAAATAGAATATGTTCTGTGTGTGTATGTGTGTTATGATTGTACATATAAAAAGTCTTTTTTTAAAGTATGTATTACAACCTTAACTGGGCATGATATCGATATTTTAGCAACGTGACTCTCTAATCCTCAATACAATAGTTGCAAAGGTCGAACAAAGTTGCTTTCAGGAGGGACTCTCCCTTTCCGGTACTTTGATTATTAGAATATTTTAAATCGACAAAACCGAGACTCTTTTGCTTTAAGCTCCATTATCCTGATACTGTCTCACTTTCTATCGTTTTTCTTTTCTTTTTTTATTCTCTCAATCGTAATGTTTAGTGACTCTTTTATAGGTATCTAATTATCGTCGGTTTCGGTTTTACAAGAGTTCGGTTTTACACAGCTGAAACGTTGAAGTTTACTTGGAATTTGCTTCTGCTTAATCAAACATGCGAAATAATTACCGTACGCATCGTTCGCAAAGAAACCATAACAAAAACACAATGACACTCTGCGGTGAATGGTACGACGATCGCGTCGATCACACAACAACAGGTTGCAGCAATTTCATAGTCATTCTTTTTTTTTACGTTAAAGGTCGAATGTTACGCACGCAATTCGGCATATCTAGCAGCAATGTAACGAATAAACTTCGCAACAATTTACCCCCTTTACCTCGCACTTTGTAACATCCAATGCGTTAATAATGGCGTAACTTCGTGTGCCTCCTTGACCCCGGTGATTAACACCAGTTGATTAACAGTATCACAAACATGGACCTTCGAACATGTAATACAGCGACATTTGGAGAACTCTACTAGATACATTAAGTCATACATTTTTTATATATATATATCTATATATATGTATTATATATATATAGTACTGTACATATAATATTTTCTCCGTGGAAACATTAAGAAAGGAAGTGTAAGTAAAAAGGCACTATTTCTGGGTATGGGAAAGAATTAGTTTCTTTAGGCCTCCCTGAACTCTTCCTACCGAGTACCTTCGCGATCACAGACCTTGCATTAACAGAAGTTACGCCGCCGCGAACGTGCCATCCTCATACCATCGTATCTCAATGTACACACACACTTTTATAAAGTCATAGTCATTATTCACCCACGTCAGAAAACATACGACTTCACGAAAGTAAAATTATAAATAGCCACTCGTAAAATTCATATTGCTCAGGCATACTCAACGAGATACACTGGAAGCATAAACTTATCGTTACATACGTCGCTCTTTACAAACTAGGGTGGAATTATATTATATACGCTACAAAAAACGATGGAATTTCTCGCGCGTATTATCGCATACAGTTGACTAGTCGTGAGAAAAATTATTAATTGGCAAGAGAATGTTCAATTGTTGTTCCGCGCACAGTCGAAGTGTGCCTTTGTGCCGTTTTAGTCGTCGATGAATGTCAGTTCGTCGTAATCGCATTTATGTAAAAACACCGGTGTTGTTATGTTATATTGACTGTCGAGGATGACATCGATTTAACAATCATTCCATTAAACAGGTGTTTCGTGATCAGTCTCTTCGATTCTTCCCAATCTCCAAGCATTCGGGTCTCCTGCCGCTGCAAATCGATAGTAAACCATCGTTTTCACAACTTTCCCCGCAACTTTATCCCGCGAAATTATATTTGAAAGCACATTCCTCCGAGAGATTGCATGTATCTCACTATGTATATAATCGTATTTCTTCTCACTACACATCAATCCATCAAATATTATACATATGTATATATATATATATATATATATTAACAATATTAAGTTAATATATTAGAAGCGAACATAATCTCCTCCCATATTATATCGAAGTCGATCGTAAAATTGAGAGGAACTATAAAAAGCGTAACGCATGCATGAGGACGGTATGATGTAATATTTGAATGCATCGTTTTCCTCTCGCTACCGTGGATTTTCTCGAGATTAAAACATGCTTTTAAGGTAATCACTGTGCTCGATACATGTTCACTCGTAGATGTGTTCTCGCTTCTCCACTCTTCTCGCATACGTCTGACTCTATCATGCGCGAAAAAACAAAAATATTCGAAAGCGTAGAAGAAGAAAAAAAACTCACCTCGAGATACAATACCCAGGAAAAATAATAAATGGTGTTACTCTGTGACATTTTGTGTAATGTATGCGCGCATCCATTGCAGGATCATAACATGTACACCACATACGATTCCGTGCTAGAGCGTTGCAGAACCGGCAGGCATAAGGGATATTACAGCGAGGATTGAACGTTTTTCTCGTACGGCATAGGGGGGGACGTACAGGGTTCGGTGGGAGCACGTAGGTGGTTCGCACGGTGTAAGGTATTGTTCAGTACCTCTTGACTCGTATACAGCAGCGGCATTCTCTCTTCTATCCGAAGCAAAATCAAAGAAAGTTGATGCAAAATTATAAAACGGTGCGGTATAATAAATTCGGGGATACATGTGGCACACATTAACAGTAGCGCCACTGTGTGTCTTAATGCCATAAGAATTGTAAACGTGAGATATGAGATTGTATTACTTTGAAGTGAAAAGAGTGAAGTGTGGTGCATTGGAAAGGTTACGGGAAACAACGGTGTATTCTGTGCCTAGTAAAATCTATCGAGCCTACCCCCGTTCTTTCTTCAATCAACATTTTTCCCTCCGATCGACTACTTGTACCGTGTATTTTTACGTGAAATGTTACCAAACGAAGCCTCGTGGAAATGATCATCGATGTACGAGATTTTAACGCCGTTTTTAACAATGTGGCCGAAAAATACCGGCAAACGTGGTGTGTAAGTAACGAACGAATTCTTACTCACTGTGGAAGTAATATGTTGAAAATAAAGGCCAAAACACTACGGACAAATTATACAAATTAATATCGACAAAACTAGATGCACGCATGCACATGCCTATGTTCTGTGGAAATTATTATATGTGCCTTTTATGTCAACCAAAGAAAGGGATGATAGTTGTTGAAAAAAAAAATGTACAGCACATAGAGATGCGGTCTCTTGTAAGAAGAAATATATGACATATTATGGTAAATTAAAAGGATTGTATCGACGAAAGCAATTCAAAGTAATACAAAAACGATGAGAGTCTCTGTTTTGTACACATTTATACTGTTGAATTCATCAGTAGCAAGAATGACAACTGGACACTGAAGGAGACACGTACCTTGAAGTTGACGACTGATGAGAGCAGTGATGCCTTGACTGTCCCCAGTCTTTTTTACAACAAAAAGCTTCGTATCAGCGTCGTTTTCTAAGGCTCCAATTCCACCCAGACCAATTATCTGTCCATTCTGCTGCTGATGACTGCTGGCAGCCATCGTTTCACTGACCTGTCGCAGGAAAATACGATAAAGTATATTTTATCGAACCGTCTTTCCATCGATCCTTTAATTAATTTTTATCAATGTTATCGTAGAATTTCCTGCGGATTTTTGTCAACCATCCGTCATTGAAACCTTGACAGCAACTTATAAGTGAGACTTTACGTGTGTATGAAAAATATTTATATTGCGTTCTACACAAAAAACTGATACTCAAAATGTCCCATTAAATACGGCGTTCTGCAATTCTACGGATAGAAAATCCGCAGAAATTTCCGCAGCGATGCGGTAAATAAAACCAATACGTATACCTGCATCAATTTCTTAACTACGTCTCTGCCCAGAATGTGATCAAATACCGCTTGCAGGAATTGATCGGTAATTATGCTTAATTTTAGTTTGTCCCTATGCCATAATAATATCCTTGACTCCTCCATAGCTGTTATTGACACCTAAGCAAACACGACGTGACATTGCAATTACTCATGTTGACTTTTATCCGTGATAAGTGATAACTCCGATAAGGAGCACAGATAAAAGGAATATCCAGTAGTGCGCAAAACGAGAACCTTGCTGATTACGAAGAACGTGCCGGTGATAGGTGCGCAATATAAGCCCGACGGCAAATTTACCTGGAAGTACTCGTCTGTCGAAACGCCAAACCATTCCGGAGAATCCAGGAACTGATGTGGGAAGACAATGTGCAACGCTCTCCCATTTTGCGAGACCACTAGCCTAAGAGAGACAGAGAGAGAGAGAGAGGGCGAGAAAAGAAGAAAATAGAATTTTCGGGAACAAGCGGAATTAAGGGGGAAACGACATGAATTTCAAACGGAATCCGGAATGAATTTCGAAACGACGACGCATGCTTACTTTCCCGACAGCACCAACGATAAAGAATCGACCTTGGTCACTTTCTCCTGCGCGTAAACCTCTTGATACTTTAACTGGCGAATGACCTTCATGCAATTTAGCACCCTTCTGAATTGATGACGAGACACCCGTAACGGCTGGAACACTGCGATGTATACCTACGTGACAGAAAATCGAGACCGTGAGACATTTTGATTAACCGTCTGTCGGAAAGCGCGTAAATACACCGACACGTCATCCGAGATTTCTGGCGGAACTTCCACTCGCACTTTGTTCATGACATATCATCGGTTATTTGCGGCCAACGCTTTAATCACTTATATATATATATATATATATAAAGGAGATAATTATCCGCTACGTTAAAGATAGAATAGATAGCAGTTGATCTCAGCCACTAAATTCCACAGCACAACACTCGACTTCGATCACGAACCAAATAGATATATATGTCACTCGTAGAACGTATTTTATAACAGTGCAAAAATAAACGGATAAGGAAACTTTGTATATGATACAAGTGCTGCAGCCAGACAGAAAGCAATTTACATAGAAATCGTTTTGTACCATCACTAATACGCTATGCTACTTTCGGGGAAACGATGTAGTCTATCTATACGCAAGAGATGTATAAGACTCAGTAATTCCAAAGAACATAGATGATGCTCTTATTAGAAATTCTCACATATTCGGTGAGCTATGTATATATGTATATATGTATATGCGTGGGTATATCTACGCGTACGTCTCAAGTAAATTATCTATATTGATTAATATCCTCCCCTTCCTGGCGTTTTTCTCCATCAATCTCGCATATTATTAATAAGTTGGCGACTTATCATCGGCTTGTGCGGTAACGCCCGTGATTCAAAAGGAAATAAACAAACATGCAATAAACTGCCTATAAATTCAACGGAAACTCTATGAGCAAAGTATTCCTTGCTATTCATTCCTCTAATACATACAAAACGAACAAAAGGAACTATTTGGAAAAGAAGAGAAACAAAAAAAACGTTAGACGTAGAAAGAACCTTTTCCAGTCTTAAAAGAATAAATATACGTCTCTCTCCCTCTCTCCGAAGACTTTGAACGTGTGTGTATGTGTATATGTGAGCGCGCGCGTCACATAAGACATTACTCCCTCAAAATCATCACTCGTCTTCTACTTGATCTTCGCTTACCTCTTCGATTTCTCTTGAAAACTTGATAGGCCTGAGCTTGTAAAGAAGCGTGCATACATGGACGAAGTTGATGGCAACAAAGAGAGCATTCCAGAGAGCAGCGTCCAGCCAGCAAGCTATTGTCCAGCCCCACAAAGCAAGAAAGGCACAGCCCACGAGTAGAGTGCACCTTAAATAGAGTACACCATGTATGCCGCTTGGTGCAAGGTGTGACAATAGGAAGAAGGCATTTGCGAGTTGAAAGTAGATGTGGTTCACATAAATTCCTTGATAGGGTTGGCAGGTAAGAGCTCCGTACAGGAAGGTTGGAGGCACTATCGGCGAATGAGGATAACCGGATCCATGGCTGACCACTGACAGTCCAGTACCTAAGGAGAGAGACGAGAGAGAGAGCGTAGCGCTTCGTCGCTGAGCGGAACGGATTCGTTAAACGGATATCGGCGAGCAAAACAAATCATCCGTCATCGCGGGCGAGCATCGTGTTCAAGCTTTAATGTACCCTCTCTATTGTCAGTGGTCACATTCCTGCATTCGTCGTTCTCGTGGTGTGCCGACGTTGGTACCGATATCTCCGACGTGACGGTATTACGCGGGACATTGGACGCGGCCGCATTCGTTAGGCTGGCATCGATGGTGATGGAGGTCCAGTAAAGAAGCACGACCAGCGAAATGGAAGCACCCCAGCCGTCTCGGCTTCCTATCGGGTCGAAGCAGATCCACATCCCCGCATTACCACCAAGCTGGACCAATTTTTTGTTTCACTCTGTAACAAGCCAAGTTTGTTTCATTCGTTTCGCACACCCACACACTTCACGAGGACAACAAGCACACCTGTCCTCTCCGCGACACAACAAGCCGATACGTACATACATATCCCCTCCGTTCTACTCGCGCGACTACTCACATTTCTGTATTACTCTCAGCTAAAATTGGAGCTTGACGACGAGAACCATCTCGCAGACTTCAGATCAAGGAAGGGTATTTGCATTACCAGCGGCTGTGGGAAGACAATGTTAACATCTGTAATGCAAATGAGCGGGCGCTGTATTATTACGCGTACAAGATAGTACACACAGGATGATTAAGCGACCGAGCGGCAGCAGGCACGTGTGTGAAGTGGTGAAATCATCGCTTATAATTAGAAATAATTATGCCGTTTCCCGTACGTATCTCTATCGGTGCTCAAATAAACGGCCTCTCTGATAAGGCCGTCCATCATCGTTATTATTAACGGCGTGGGAAGTGCATTGCGTTTGCCTCGCGGCGGAGGTGCTTGGAAAATTAACGGGGCGAGGAGCGTGAAACGCACGAGTGTTCGCTTTGAAAAATGAGGGATCTGCCATCTATCCGTTTTCTAGTAGTCCCGGTACGCACACTAGCAGCGCGCACGCACACACGTATATGTGCTAACGACTGCTTATATGCTCGTGCAATATATACATGTACCCACAAGAAGTGTTCTTCGACCTGCCATTTTACATCTGACTTTTACCCGACAAAACGACTGCTTCTCTGCGTGGCGGCGGACGGTGGTGAACGCACGCGGCAGCTCCGTCGCATAATCGTCCGCGCATTTCGATCCGTTGAAAGGCGACCACGAGATCGCGGCACATCGCTCGGCGAGCGCATGGAAACCGATGACAACGGACGCGCGCTCTCTCTCTCTCTCTCTCGAGGAGTCTCTCGCGTGCGAACTCACGCGTTCGTTCGTCGCCGTCGGGCCAGATTTCCGCGGAGTTCTCGCGAAAGAGTCGAGCTCCGCTCGTATGTCGAGACGCTCTCTCGTTATTGAGAGAACGTCTCGTCTCTCGAAATCAATAAATAACTTACTCATGGAAAATCGGTGAAGGTGGGGGCGTACGCAAGGCATACAGGTGAGAGGGCGAACGGTGGTGACGGTCGCGTTCGTAAAGAGAAGAAAGGAGAATAATCGTCCTTCTCGTCTTACTCGTCGTCGTCGTCGTCGTCGCTGACGCTGTCGATGGGCTGGCCGTCGTCGTGGGCGCGCGCGTTGCGTGGAAACAGAAACCGAGAGAAAGAGAGATGATCGTTGCGATCGCGCCACTCTCCTCGCTCTCTCGCTCGCTCTCGCGCGCTCACCCACTCGCTCGTAACGGAAACGTCAAACTAGCGCGGCGCCGAGCGACGTCGCGGAGTTAACGGGTCGGATTCACCGCGCCGAGCTACCGGGAGCGAGAGGGGGAGGCGTGCGCGCGCGCGCGGAGGAAGCGAGAGATAGAAAGAGAGAGAGAGGAGAGGACTCGAAAATAGGCCGCTGTTGACGGAGGGGCACGTTTCGTTCTGCAAATTTACGCTCTTCGTCCCTCTCGATACGTCGCTACGACCGAGAGAATCGACACCGGGCAAGCTATCGATTGCTCCGAAGTGTTCCCCGTGCGCGCGTCCCCCTCGTGATCGCGATCGACCACCACCTGTCGTCATCGACGGCGCACTTGGCGATCGAGTTGATCCCGTCCTTCGCTGTGTGGAGTCCTGAAGGCGCGATCTGAAAATGCAGAGGGACGTTTGTGTCGGAAAGTACCTGTACCGAATCTCGCTATTCCCGACAGCAATCAGCTTCGATATCGAATAGCCTACCGGCTAACCTCGATCCTCGGCAATCTCGGCGATTCTCTCGCGGCGTTACCTCTCGAAATTTCAAGCTCCTTCAAATGTTGAAATTCGAACTTCGGCGAAAGTGCATGCGATTGTGTATCGATTCGTATGCTCTTTTTTTTTTTTATCATTGGTCGATTTCCCGATCGGCCCCGGCGTTATCGAGCTATCGAAGTGGACGAGTGTGTGTGAAGTGAACGTCGCTACCGAACGATATACCGAAGTCCGACGAGAGCGTTCTGAATTGGAGGCGGCATTTTACATCTCGCTTTCCTATGTATTTCGTGTGTCTGTGGCGCGTGAGGAAATATTAATGTGACGAAATGGCGAAGGATTTAATAAATGGTAAATGATTATATGTCAAACAACATTGAATTTGAGGTGCGGGTTGCGCGCGTGTGTCTCGAAATAGTTCTAATGGTTCAAGCGACATCGCGCTTCTCAATTAAAAATATGTTAACATTAATACACATATATCTAAAGTTTAAAGAATTCAAAGTAAGATTATTTCTCTCTTGAATTTGTAGCTGTGAGGGAATCTCTGAAGGCTGACGGGGAACTCGATCGTATAAAGGCAGAGATGCGCACGGAAGTGATAAAACTGCTCGACTGTTCCAGCAAAGACAGCAAATCAAAAACCGTCAAACCCACTCATGATATTATAGTCTTGAATGAACTCGTTAGAGAATACTTGGATTGGATGGGATACAAATACAGCTCCACTGTATTTATTGCAGGTATATATGATTTATTTTTCATTGATTATCTTACAAAATATTATCTTTTATATCAATTTTTGTGTTAACGGAACAAAATGATTATGTAAAATGCAAAGTA